GAGGGAAACTGCAGAGCTACAGGAGGGAGACAGGACTTGCTCCTTCCTTTCTGCTTGCTGCTGTCTTTCTGTGAGCATCTCCCCAAGGGCTTCTTCACCCAGGCAGCGGCAGGTCATCCCATGGTGGCAGCTGAATCCACTTTGTAGTTTTTCTAACACTTGCAAAACCAGCCTCTTCATACTCCTCTCAGAGAAACCAATGCCAGCTGGCCAGTGCCCCTCCGTTATATGTCTGGGCTCAGGCTCAAAGCTCAGAGTCACCACCCAGCCAAGTAGTATCCCTTCCTTACAAGTCTGAGTTTCAGCTCCAACCTCTAAGCTTCCAAATTTCAGTTAATTCTAAGCTCATCTCTTTGGTCCCCCAGGTTCAAGGGAAGTTGCTACTTTTAGTGTTCTCTTGTTACTTTTCAGTTACCTAGTTAATAATTCTTTGTATTAAATTATTTCTGTTCATGTAAATGATGTGGTTTCTTTCTCCTGACTGAACCCTGGTCCAACACAACAGACCTTCAAATATAGACTTTTGAAATTGTTCTGGTTGTGTCCTGGTATCGAATTAAGTGCTGAGCTCCTTGGGAAGCTTTCAGTGGGAAGTGGGTGCCAGTAATTCCTAACATGCAGTGGCGTCATATTTATCAAATTATCACCCGTGTTTAATTGAGATGAAATGTCAGCTGAAGCAAATGACTTGGGCGGGGGTCCAAATAACTGCTGTACTTGATTATTATGGCAGTAATAATGACTATAAGGACTATGGTGTTGAATGATCTCTTATGAGGGAACTAGAGCTTATTTTCTCAGCTTCATCCCACAAATTTTATTTTATTTTATTTTTATTGTTGTAATTAAATGAAGTTTACATTTCAAGTTAGTCTCCCATACAGAATTTTTTTTTTTTTTTACATACATTGTTACGAGACCCCAACTGCTCACCCCATTCTGCGACAGCACACTCCTCCCCTCCGCCCCTGATTCCCCATGAACATTCAACCAGCTCCTAACTCTGCCTTCCCATCTCACCGCTGGACAGAAGCCACACCTTTGGTCTCTTGTATCTACTTGGCTAAGAGGCGCATTCTTTACAAGTATCACTTTATGTCCCACAGTCCAGTCCAATTCCTGTCTGAAGAGTTGGCCTCAGAAATTGTTTTAGTTCTGGGGTGATAGACCAGGGGCCATGCTTTCCGGGGCGCCTCCTGTCTTAGACCATTAAGTCTGGTCTTCTTACTAGAATTTGAGTTCTGCATCCCATCATTCTACTTCTCCATCAAGGAGACCCTCTGTTATGTTCCCTGTCAGGACGTTCATTGGTGGTAGCCAGGCACCATCTAGTTCTGGTCTCAGGCTGATGAAGTCTCTGGTTTATGTCATCCCACAGATTTTAATATGTTTTAATTATCATTCTGTTAGAAATATTTTCTAATTTCCCCAGTGATTTCTTCTTTGTTGATTCGTTATTTACAAATGTATTATTTCATCTAAAATGTTTGAGGGTTTTGTCGATAATTGTTTTCTTATTTAACTCCACTCTGGAATTTCTGAGGAGAATATTTGATTCTGTCACATGTTATTGAACCAGTAGTGTTAATGATGAACTTCATTTGCTCTCATGGACTTAACCCATCATCAGTTCGGTGAATTTTTGTCAAAGAGTTGAATATCCTGATTTGCCCTACCACAAAGCAGTTCAGTTCAGTGGCCTAACGGTGGTAAACGTTAATTGTGACTTTTTGAACTCGGGCAGAGAACAACATTCTGTTGTCTCCAGTCTGCTGTTGTAACCCATCAAGTGAATTTTCCGTTTCAGGCTGCATTTTTGTGTTTAATATGGTTCATTCTTATGATTTCTTTTTCTCTGATGAGAGTTCCCTCTCTTCGTTTATTATCATTAAGTCCTTGAATATGTGTAGTAGTTGCCTTATAGTCTTTGTCAACTAATTCCAATATCAGGGTCATCTGATATTTAATGACTGTTGACTGCTTTTTTCCTTGATTATGGGTCATATGTTCCTGTTTCTCCTCATGTCTAGTAATTTTTGACTGTATTGGATATTGTGGATATGTTACAGTGATCCTCAATTCTGTTTTTTTCCTAATGAATGTTGATTCTTTGTTTCAGCAGGCAATTAGCTTGGGTGCATTTAAACTCCAAACTCTCTCTCTCCTGCATTTGGCCAGCTAGTATCTGCTCAATTCTTTCAGCCATCTAGCTGTTGCTTTTCATCTCACCTGTGTATGTGTGGTTCAGGAGCCAGCTAAGGATTAGGGTAGAGTTTGTATGCATATTCTGGGGTTCCCTCTTTTCTAGGTTTCTCCTCTTACTTTCTAGTTGCTCTACTAGCTCTAAACCTCATCTTCTGATGCCTCAAGCCAGTTAAGACTGTGACTTTTTTACTTTCAGCTACTCTGCACAGTGTAGGCTGGTGTGTGCCCTAAGGCAACAAGCCGCATACATAAAGGCAAATTCCATCCCTCTTTCAAGGTTTAAGGAGCCCTGGTGGAGCAGTGGTTAAGCGCTCAGCTGCTAAGCGAAAGGTTGGCCTTTCAAACCCACCAGCTGCTCTGTGGGAGAAAGATATGGCAGTCTGCTTCCGTAGAAACCCTAATGTTGGGGCAGTTCTACTCTGTCCTATTGGGTCGCTGTCAGTTGGAATCGACTCAGTGGGAGCGTGTTTGTTGTGTTTCAGGGCTTGGCTTCCCTCCAGTTTCTGACTTCTGGTTGTTCTCCAGTGCCTTCAAATAGTTTTTTTTATATTTTGGCCAGAGTTTATAGTTGTTATTTGTAGAAGGGTTAGTCCAGTACAAGCTACTCCACTTCTTCTGTGCTTAAAAGTTTCCCATGCTTTCACTTCTGACTTCTCTGTTTTTGGTGTGTCTCGTAAATAGCTTCTAACTTTTATTTAAAAAAAAAAAAAAAAAAGTTAATCTGACAACTTTTAATGATACATTTAGTCCTTTTATCTTCATTTTGATTAATGATATATTGGGATTTATGTCTACCATTTCATTTTGTGCTTTCTATTTTTCTGGTTTTGTATGATTTTAAACTCCCTTCTCATTTTTTAAAAAAAAATTACTTGAATTTGTTATTCCTCTTTTCTTCAACTTTGGTTTTTAAGTTAAACATTCTGTTTTTATTCAGTTTTTACCTTTAAATCTTTCAATATGCATATTTGACCTGAAAAAGTCTAAAATTAATCAAATATCTTGACCTCCTAAATACAGAAACCTTAAAATGCTTTAACTTCAGTTACTCTTCTCCTTCTTATGTAGTATTTCTTTCTGGTATTTTCATTCATTTGTTTAACAAATTAATTAGTCAGCTTCTCTACCGTGTGCCAGATACTATTACAGGTGCTACAGTAATAGCATTACACAAAATAAATTCCTGCTCTGCTGAAGCTTACACAATTGTGTAATTACATATATTATGATGTGAATTCATAATCAGTCCCGTAATGGAAAGTAAAGCATAATGAAAGGATAGATAATGACATTGGGGTGGGGGTACTATTTTGTGGACGAGTTTCTGCTGTATTCAGACATTTTGTAAGAATTTTATGGCTCAGGTATGAAAACACATAATTCCCGTATTGGAGGAGCTTGCAGTCTAACCAGAGAGTTCCAGGAAGAAAATATGGATACGGGAGCCATCGGCATGTGGTAGGTGAAGCTCTGCGACTGATGAGCTTCTCAAGGAGGGTGTGCAGAGTCAGGGCCCCTCAGGACAGATCCAGGGTAGAGGAGGAGGAGCCAGTAAAGAAGACTGCAAAGCATGTCAGTAAACTAGGAGAGCAAGGAATGACTCTGGAAGCCAAGAGAAGAAGAGGTTTTATTTTATTTATAGCCTGTTTTATTCCAAAAATAATGTGAGATAGCTGAGACATCAAGTAAAATGAGGGTGAGAAAAACACTAGTGTTGGTAGTTAGGAAACGAGAGTGATTTGATCAGTAAATGGTTTCATTGGAGTGAAGCCGTACTACAGTGGGTCGAGGGATTGAGAGATTACACATTAAAGGCTACTTGCACAAAAGTGGTGAATGAAAAAAAACGAGAGAGGAAGATAATTTGAGGGAAAGACGGCAGTATATGGAACACAGGACTAGGGTTGGTGTTGTGGCAAAAATACAAGCAAAACCCTGTAGATTTGGGGCTCCTTTGCTGGAAAATCGCTTGGGCCTCTGGCCTGGAAGAAGTTCCTGTTGGGCCCTTTCCTCCCCAAAAACTGTTCCTCAGGATCCCTGGGGTTTTCCAGTGCTGGCGGTGGCAGTGTTTTTCCTAGTGTCTAAGTCCATGGTTGTAGGGAAAGATGCATATTTTCTGGAACGCCAGCACTGCATTGTATTGTAATGGTTTGGTATTAATGACTTCCCTTGCCATTGCCTTTCAGACTCCTTAGCATGATAGTCAGGATTTTCCCTGTTCTGAACACATCCCTTCAACCAGTCTCCCAACTCTCGTGCTTGATGTTCCCTAGACATTCCCTGCCTTCCTGTTTTATTTAGCTTGCACTGTTTTGTTCACTTGGAATGTCCTTTTATCTTTTACCTGTCTAACTCGAACCAATTCCCCAGTCACTTCTCCCCACTGATTTCTCTCCTTTATGCGCTGTAAGCGCCTTTTGCAAAGATACAAAAGCTTTTTGTAAATTGTGAAGTGCCACACAAACTTACCTTGTGATCTGTCCTACTAGAGTGTAAGTTCACTGAGGGCAGGGACTGAGCCTTTTCATGTTTATGTGTATCTGACCACTTAGTATAGTGTCTTGTACATAGTTGGCATTCTTTAAAATTTGAGTGAATTAAGTATATGTGATTCTGTGATAGATTAAATAATGCTGTATCCGAGATAGGTCTATCATATACCAAATTCTAGTTTGTAGTTACTAAATGCATATTGAAATTTTACATCTATACAGTCTCCTCTGTAAAGATTGTTGTTGTGTGCCATCGAGTCGATTCTGACTCATAGCGACCTTCTATGTCAGAGTAGAACTGCCCCATAGAGTTTCCCAGGCTGTAATCTTTACGAGAACAGATCACCAGGTCATTTCTCATCTGTAAAGGCAGATTCCTTAAATAGAATCCTCCACTGGTTAACATCTTCACTTTTTTCTTTGTAGGATACACGCCTATTGAAATCAGTAATTGTAGCTTGCAGAGTGGTATATTGGAATGTTTTTGACTGAAGTAACAGAACACTCAAACAGTGAGTGCTTTATCATCTCACATAACCAGAAGTCTGGACATAGGTGGTTTCAGGTTTGTTCTGTTCAGTGGCTCTGTGATATCATCAGGGTCCCGTGTGCTTTCCATTTTTTCCTTTGCGGTCCTCACATGTTGATGATGGCTTCCCTCATGGCCTCTACTTGAGAACAGCACTTCTGGATATGCTGTACAAGCAATAGCCAAAGCAGGGCTTCAAACTAGTTCATTCCGGTTTGAACCCCTGCTGAGAATTTGCATTTCTCACAAGTTCCCAGGAAATGATAAACCAGGTGATTCTTCATGTATAACTTCCTGGGAACTTGTGAGAAATGCAAATTCTCAGCAGGAGTTCAAACTGGAACAAACTGGTTCGAAGCCCTGATCCAAAGGCAGAAAAGTTTAGTTTTTCTTGGTGCCTCTCTGTGAGGGAGCAATACTTTTCCTGACTACCTTCCAGCAGACTTCCCCTCAGGTCCCACTGGCCAGGCTTGGGTCACTTGTACTGGCAAGAGGAATAGGAAGGCCATGGTTGGCTTGGACCAATCAAGAAAAAACCCCTTGGGGGGCTTATTGAATGATCACTTGATTCAATCAGAGCTATAATGCAGTGAAAAGATGGGGGTAGAGTGGGGTAAGCAAGGAACAATATCTGTGGTAAGCCACAGATGGTATGTGTCTTTGGCCTTCCCATTTGAAAAGTTAGTATCCTCATAGATTTTTAAGAGGAGGAAAGAGAATTTTTATAGTATTTGTACTTAGCTTCGTGTTTGATCTCAGTAATACCTTATTTGTTGACTCATCCATGTAATAGACATTGATTGATTACTTGTGTCCCAGGCACTGTGCTCAGCACTGCAGAAGTACCTGAATAAGATAGGATACTTGCCCTCAGGTGCCAGCTGGCTTATAGTCCAGTTGAATGAGGTAGCTGAGGTAAGGGAAGAGGATAGAGTTATTCTGTAATAAACTGATATGAGGAAATTTATTTTTCAACAGGAGATGTGGGACATGTGGATTTGGGATATGAATTCATTTGAAAAACCACTTTGGGGTAAGTTGATAGTTGGGAGTAAATGAATTCAGGGTTGCTTTTACTTCTCTTTAAACTGATGTTTGGTCTTATAACTCTGTGGGTTTGGAATCTTAGAATGATTGGACTTTATGCTTCAGATACACTTAAGAATCCGATTTAGTAATTTGAGAAATGTAACCATTAAGCATAGCCCCAGTTGCAATTAATTAGTGCAGGTGCACTAATTACTTTTCATTAAGATGGTCAGTTTGAAAACTAAATGAAAACCAGGTTCAGAAATAGAAAGATGCTTATTATGTAGAGTTTAACCTGCTTGAGCTTATCCAGTGGTTCCATTATGTGGTCTGGAACTCACCACAGAGCCAGCGTTGAAGATACGGGTGAGAGTTTGTCTCTGAGCTTCTCTTTGCAGTACTCCAAATGGCCATTTAAATTTGCATTGCTTTAGCACTTATATAAGAGGTCCCTGATTGTTTCATCTAAGAAAGTGCACCACTGAATATTAGTGTGTACTGAGAGCCTCCGTGGTGCAGTGGTTAAAGCGCTCAGCTGCCAACCAAAAGGTCGGTGGTTTGAACTCACTAGCTGCTCTACGGGAGAGAGATGCGGCAGTCTGCTTCCGTAAAGATTTACAGGCTTGAAAACCCTATGGGGCAGTTCTACTCCATCTTATACGGAGGTTGATTAAAGGAATAGATAAAAAGGCCCAGATTTATACTGGTAAAGTAACATGACTAGGGTCACATACTAGTAAGTGTCAAAACTGAAGCTATAAACCAAATTTGAACTTAAGCATTTGTCCTAATAGACACTCATTTCTGTTTTAACATGCTGCTTATGTCATGGGTCCCAGGAACACCCCCAGGTCCTCTGATTCGTTAGGAGAAGTCCGGACTCAGCATATAGTTGTACTCATGGGTGAGTTTTCTTACATTGGAAGAATACAGAGCAAAATCAGCAGAGAGAAAACATGCATGGGGTGAAGTCAAGAGGAGTCCAGATGTAAACTTCCAAGAGTTCTCTCCATGTGGATGTGCTTAATTCTTCCCACAGTAAATCTGACAACATGTGAAATGTTGTCTGCTAGGGAAGCTCATTAGAAACTCAATGCCCAAGGTTTTTGAGGGCTGGTTACATAGGCACCCTCTGCCTAACATGTACCAAAATTCCAGACTCCCAGAAGGAAAGCAGGTGCTCAGCACAAACGATATGGTTTGTATGAACAGTTTAGGCAGAGTGAGCCACCTTTATCATTTAGGGAAAGTTTTATATCAATGAAGGAAACAGTTTACAAGTTCCCAGACGCTAGCCAAGGGCCAACCTTGCAAGCAGGCATAGCAGACTGCTATGTTAACTCCGTTTGCACACTGATTTGTTCATTTAAGGAGATTGTGATTATGATCATTTAGCTTCTGACAAATAAGGAGAGAAGTAAGTATTATGGCAACTGAATTCTTTAATGATGTCTGTTTTGGGCATCCCAATGGTGATTGACTGGAAGGACTCACACAACTCAACATAAAGTTGTATTCATGATTAAGATTTATTATAGTAAAAGACACAGTGCAGGAATAGCAGGAAAAAAGATATACACAGGCAGAGGCTGAAGAAGTTAGGGACAGACTTCAAATCCTCCCTCTGCAAGGGTCACGTAGACATACTTTTCTCTCCAGTTGTGAATCATAGAGACACACGCAAAACATCTCTACCCAAGGAAGCCCACACAGTCTAAAGTTCTTATAATAGGAAGCTAGTCACGTAGAGAAATTTGCATACCAGCCATGGTAACTGAAACTTGGGACCCCAGACCAGATACCAGGTATACATCATAAATCTTGTTGTTTACTTTAAACAGTGCTGACGGCCTGGTACAGCGTTACCCACTGCCTCAGACGTACAGAGTAACATCTTAACCAGTGGCTATATGAACATTCTAGGAGTTTAATTCTCAGAGTTTGGCAAGTCATTGCCATGACTCCAAGGCATCCCCAGAGATTAGCAAAAACTGAGTAAAACAGACCTGCTGTGTTAACTCTTTCCTCACAGTAGCCTATACGAAATAATACGGCATTGGCTGAATGCAATATTTCATGCTAGATTTATTCTTTAGAATATAATATTCTAAACTCAGAGAAAATAATTGGTAGTAGAAATAGTTGGTAAATTTCACTTGGAGGGAAAGTTTATAGATTCTTTTATTTTAGGGATTTATATATAAGGGTGACTTTTAGATTTCCCATTTTGTCCACAACTGTTAATATCGTGTACCTTTGTATGTTATCTTAAAGAATACAGAAATACAAACTTAAAAGTTAACCTAAGATATTTCAAAATTAACCTTCATTTTATGAAGTTGTAACCGGATCCTTCCAGGTCTGCTCAGCGCGGCTAGAAAGACATGAAGTGGCGAAAGCGGAAGAAGCAGCTTTATTTAGTTGGCCAAGTAAAGGAGCCCACCAGGACTTGTGTCGCCAAGGTGGCTACCTGAGCAATGGCCTGCGGGGTTTATATGGGTAAAGTAAAATTCACTCTGGGTCTTCAGGGATGCCCCAAGGTGGAGTCAGCCTGTTGATTGGTTTGGCCTATAAAGGCGTTCCTGAGGCGGTCCGATCTTCTGCGCCTGCTCAGTCTAGGATGGGGGCCACAAAGATGGGTGTTCTGCCCACGTCGGGGGCGTAGACGGGGATGTGTTTTTCGGCCTCTGACGTCGGTAGGTCATTCAAGGGACATGGTTGTCGGTACTGCACATGTCAGGCTGGCCAAACCTAGTTTCAGATCAGTTTTGACTGGAAACCCCAGCCTCTTGTTTTTCTTAACTGAGCCGGAACCGGAAGTATACCTAAATCAGGAGATACCTTTAAGAGGGGGTTAGTTCCTACATTACCTAATAAGGAGATAGTTTACATGCAAGGAGTTAGTTCTGATATCACATAGGATGGCAGGCACCACCCCTTGCTTATTCAAGATGGTGGGTGTGCTGTCAGCCTCAAAATCTTTCTTAATGGAATGTTTTTAAACACAGTGGGATCCCTTTTTTATGGAATTTGCAGATTCACAGGAACTCCAGTTTTGCAGAGAGAAAATAACCCATAGTTTAAAAAAAGTCTAATTCCAGGATTTGGGACCAGTCTTTGCTACTTCAGTTACTGCTACTTAAAACCTACTCTATGTTATGCGAACAAGAAAGACAAAGTGGACAGAGAAAGTTACATGCTTGACAATGGGAGGTTCTGAATTAACCGAGTTAAGTAGGTTTCCTTATTTTTCCCTATCACAGAGCCGTTTGTGCGATAATAGGAATCTCCCAGGGTGAAGAGAGTGTGGAACATTTCCCTAACTTGTTTGACCATGGAATCTGTTTAGTGAGTCTTCTTTCTCAGCTGTGAACTCTGCAGGAACAGTGTTGTTTAGGAGAAAACATAAGCACAGTGGCAAGCCATTAAAGGGTTATAGGTAAAGGAGGGGCAGAACAAAACAAGTATAAAAAAAAAAATCTGTTTTAAATGAAACTTTGTTGCAGAAAACTTTAGTATCTTATAGGTCTTCAGATAAAACCTATTTAGAAACTTCCTTATCTGGTTGTCTTTTTCCTGCCAGGTTTCCTGAGTTGATGTTTCTCTTTTGGAATGTGAGTGGTATGTCTTGGACTGGTGTTTAACAGTGGGATTAGGTGATAAGATCTTCCTTGGTGTGGGTTATCGCTTTCATGCTTGTACCATCCATAATACTTGACACAGTATTAAGTACATAGTTAGCCAAGACTCACTTTGGTGAAGGGTAAGACACTAAACAATATTGGGAAAATCAGCACAACTTGACCTAGGCAAAGTCATAGAAGCTTCACAGACACATCCAGACTCCCTTAGGGACCGAATTACTGGGCTGAGGGCTGGGGACCATGGTCTTGGGGACATCTAGCTCATTTGTCATAACACAGTTTATAAGGAAAATGTTCTATATCCGACTGTGGTGAGTAGCATCTGGGGTCTTAAAAGCTTACAAGTCTCCATCTAAAATACATCCACTGGTCCCATCCTGGCTGGAGCAAAGAAGAATGAAGACAACCAGAGACACAAGGGAAAGGTTAGTCCAAAGGACTAATGGACCACAACCACCGCAGCCTCTGCCAGACTGAGCCCAGAACAACTAAGTGGTGCCCAGCTACCACCACCGACTGCTCTGACAGGGATCACAGTAGAGGGTCCCAGACAGAGTGGGAGAAAAATGTAGAACTATATTGAAATTCACAAAAAACAGACCAGACTTGCTGATCTGACAGACTGGAGAAACCCAGAGAGTATGGTCCCCGGACACCCTTTTAACTCAGTACCGAAGTCACTCCTGAAGTTCACCCTTCAGCCAAGGATTAGACAGGTCTGTAGGACCAACAGTAACATGCGTGAGGAACATGCTTCGTAGTTCAGTCATGTATGCAAGACTAAATGGACACACCAGCCCAAAAGCAAAGATGATGAGGCAGTACGGGACAGGAAGACTGAACGAATGGAAACAGGAAACCTGGGATGGAGAAGGGGGGGAGAGTGTTGACACATTGCAGGTGTTGGCAACCAGTGTCACAAAACAATTTGTGTATTAATTGTTTAATGAGAAACTAATTTGCTTTGTAAACTTTAGCTAAAGCACAATTAAAAAAAAAAAAAAAAGACTCAATAAATATTCTAGGGAGCCTGGCATGAGTTTGTGACTGTAAAATACTGAAACTTTTTTTTTAAAGGAACACAAATAATAATAGAAAAGTTAGGTGCTATACATTATTTTAATTATGCCATTTTGAAAAACATTTTGGGACTTTTCTTTTAGACATCTCTTGAGTTTAAATCTTCTATCACCAACTTCTCTTTCATGACCTGTGATTTTTTGTTTGCTTATTTTGTCAGAACAGTAGAATTATCCTGCCATAGATGTTAAGTGCTTTTAACTATCAGAGTGTTTTTGTTTTTTGCAGTAGATAGAATATAATTTTAAGGAATTAAATGGCCAGTCACAGCTACTACATT